AGAGAGAGAGAGAGAGAGAGAGAGAGAGAGAGAGATTTCCAGCCATGCACGCTTCCATTGATAGGATGCGCAAAATCGGAATGAATATTCCACTGGAATATGGAAATAAACGCTGCTTTCCAGCCATGCGCCCAGAGAGATAGAGAGAGGCTACCTCCATCGATACGATGAGGGACTTACCTTTTCTCTCTCCCTCTCTCTCTGTGCGTGTCTCTGTCTCTCGCACACAAAAAAAAAAGAAAAAAAAGAAAAAAAAAAAACTGGAAGTGTATATTTCCATGTTCCATAGGCAGAATGATCAAAATCGAATGAATCTTTCGCTAGACATGGAAGTATACACTGCCACACTTTTATATTCAGTCCACAAACCCGCTGCCAAAAAAAGACCCCCCTTCATAAAACCGCTCCTTCTTGCCACCTACCCATACCCACGCCGACCGTTGGCGGCCAAAACAGACGTCCACCGCTCCCCTGATGGCCCGACACCGCCAGCGGCGGGCTCCCCACACTTCCGCGTGGGACCGTCGGGTTCCGCCTCTGCCCGCTGCGCCCCCTTCCTCCCGAGTTCCCAAACCTGGGAGCAGCGGGGTCTCGCGTGGGCCGTCACGCCCAAGGGAGACCCGCTGTAGTATGTAGATGTGTATGTAGATGTAGATGTAGATAGATATAGGTGTAGAGAAAGAGGCAACGTGTTTTCAGCAGCACAACTGCACTGCAAATCCACACTTAGGGTCTCGTTAGACACTCCTAAAGGAGTCCTAATTTTTTTAGGACGAGTCGTGTTTTCTACCCCATCGCCCGGCGAATAGAGGGAAGAAGGATTACCATGCCAAGCTCGTGCCTTTTGTTGATGGCGGACTTCCTAACAAGGAAGGCGTTCATACAGTGCCCATGCTTTCTATTCGCGTTCATACAATACCCATGCTTTCTATTTCGGGAAAGAAGGCTCTTAAGCAAAATGCTTGTGACGGGTTCGACATAATGTCGATGATGCGCAGTGTGTTATCCTGGGATTCCTGGAGGCTGGCGCACAGTCATACTCATCTTCTTCTTCTTCTTCTTCTTCGTCTTCTTCTTGACTATTTTTTTTTTTTAATTTGGACCATTTCTCGATTTATGCGTGTCATCCTTGCGCAGGGCTCATGCAAAAATCCTCTTCTTTTTGCTTTTTCCTTTTTTTTTTTTTTGACAAAATGCTCCTATCTATTCGTGGGGAGCTGCATGTGCTGGGAATCGAGCCCAGTGTCGCTCTTCTTTGTATCGTTCAAGTTTTAACCTATGGCCCGAAGGATAGTCATACTGATGTTCCTGTTGCCTTTCTTCTCCTTTTTCACTTTTTCTGTTTTTCTTTTTGTATTCTCTTGAAGGAGGAAAGGCCGCGACTTGATTACGGACTTGGACAGGATTTTAACTCGTTGCCTGCATGAAGGCTCCTCTTCACAAATACGATCGATCCACGTGGCACTCAATCTTCTTCCTCACTCAGTCTGCCGCTCCGGCAATGAAGACGGTCCAGAACATTCATTGCAAGTCTCGACATTCTTCCCAATACGACTGAATCAGATCCTAATCGGCCAGGAGGACAAGGCAGCAGAACGGACATCTCTCCCCCCGCCCTCCCCTCACTCCACTGCCCTCCCAATGCCGACCGTTGATCGGTGTGGTAGCACTTCTGGCCCAGTTGCAGTGAAGTCCGTAGAATGCGGGTGGCATAAGGTGCGGGCTCGAGGAGCACCTGCTGCGCTATAGGGACGCTTGCACCTAATGAGACTCGTCAGCCGCCCTCCTTATCTGCTAGCGTACGTGCATGGAGACCCCTGCCTCCCTGCCTCCCTGCCTCCCTGCCTGCTTGCCTGCTTGCCTGCTTGCCTGCTTGCCTGGCTACCTGGCCCCTTGTACAACAAACAATGGAGGTTACACACCTCTTTTCACACCTACCTTAGAAGATACTGGCCATAGGATTTTGTGGACACACCTGAGCGGAATCACGGCCAAGTTCAGACAGATCTTTTTCTTTTCTTTTTTTTTTATAAATGAAAGCTCCATCTATTGGTGGGGACCATCACCTGCTGGAAAACGGGTATACCCAAAGATCTTTGCTTGGCTCTCCAGACCGGTCAGCCATCTGTCCGCTCCGGTAGACTAAGTGTCAGCATAGCAATCAATCAAGGTGGTCGGTTCACCTCTTATCTAATAAGCCCGTCATTTCGGTAGAGTAGAGTAAGCAATCAAGGTGGTTGGTTTGCCCTGAAAGGAAATACCTTTCGCCTCCTTTTGGCTACGATCAAGTGGGGCATGACGTCTATTCACTCCGTTTTCTGCGAACTAGTGATTAGCTATAAATAACAAGGCTTGCCCCTTTGCCCCCACCCCAGGTCCTGGGCGTTCTCCCAACAAAGCACCATCTGCATAATCTACGGCCAAGAACAACTATCCACTTGAGCAGAACCTCTTCCCACAGAGAAAGGTGACAAACCTGCCGTAGCCAGACCAAGAGTTGGACCCCACAGGAATGCGGAAAGGAATTTTTTTTCTGCGAAACTGTTTCGAGGACCCCATTGGGAGCGGAGGGCCTCGTGGCAAAAGCGAAATGTCTTCCAAATAGTGGTTTCCGAACTTTCCGGGACCCGCAATTTATGGCGTGGAAGAACACGTATGGCCGTTTTCACATCTGCCGCAGCGTGGAAAGTCGCTCAGGAGGACTTTTCGCTGCGATCTTGTGCCGAAAGTCGAGAGTGAGGGAGGGAGTGCGCGGGGTACTTCCCAAGGTCGCGGCCACCGTTCGAACCACGTGAGGGGGGCACGGTCATTCCTTGCGTCCACACCACACCTTCTGGAGATTCCGCCACTTTCCTTTTCGGGACGCTGGCCGGGGACTTTTCGTGTTACGGAATATCATTTGTGCAGTTTGCCACAAAACACAGTCCGCTATGGGGTCCCAGCAAACCAGTTTGCCACCTTTCCGAAATTGTTCGGCCGCTTTTTATGGCCAGACGTGTTTCCCATTGTTTTTCCTGAGGGGTCCAACCCCAACCCGGCTATTGGTAGCACCCTCATTTTGGCTGTACCTGATCGGAATGTAGCTTGTATACATTCATTATCAGGGTACGTTATGTTCGGGGGAAGACGGTAGCAGACTTCCCCCCTCAATACTCAGCCGCACACCCGGAAAAAAGCCAGTGTACTCCTTTTCCGACCAAAAATAGTACTAAGCATAATGTATGTTGTTGTTGTCGTTTTTTCCTTCTCTCTTTCGGAGCAAGCATAATGTACTATCTATGTTCCTTTCCTGCTGAAAATAGAAATACGCATAATCTATTATCTATTTCAGGCATGCTCGGCATGCTACGGCCAACCGCCTGCGGGAGCAACTTCAGAACTTCCCCACGGCAGCAATGGTGTACCACAGACGCCGAGAAGGAGCACCTTTCTGTGAGGTGTGTAATCAGGGATGTCTCGTTCAAGACCAGCAGCATTTATGGTTCAACTGCAAATGTGCGGCGGAAGTGTGGGCATGGTGGAAGGCTTTGAACCTGCTACAGTCATTGGGGAGAGCTCTGGACTGAAGTGGGTATCTTGTTTTGGACGGTGTCTATGAGGCTGGACAAATAGAGAGCCTATGTGTATGAGACTCTTTCGAGCAAAAATACTGTGGCCAATTTGGAGGCGCAGAAACCACGTAATCAGAAATGGCGCCACTCCGGCCACTCAACACATCTTCCATGATATCCACAGAAACCTCAGACAAGTCATCCAACTGAACTGGGGAAAACGAGCTGGGGACACAGCATCAGTTGCCGCGGCAGGTGTACAATGGTTCCCCGAGCATTGGCCTGCATGCCCCCAGCTGGTTATGGTGGATGGATGTACAGGAGACAATTGGTTCCAAACTTTCTTTCAGGAATAGACATTTTGATGATTTTGTGTAATGCTTTTTTAAACCACCACTACTTGAAGTTGGGTTTCTAGTCGGATAAAGTTGGACGCTCCTGTAGTGGCCTGTACGTTTGCTAAGATTGTGGCTAGGAAATACCGGTGGTTTAGGTCGGATCCCACAGTACTTACCATAAGTACTTTCTGGCAAATTCGGGATCCCAGCGTTTCCCGCACGAGTAGGGGGCGGCACTGCCATAGGATGAAAGTGGAAACATTTGTAGTTGTGGCAGCGCGCAAAAGTCACGGCGAGAGAAGTAAGGAAATCGAGAGAGAGGCGAACCCCTAACCTGCCGCTAAAAAGATGGAAGGTTGTTTTCTGTTTTTTTTTTTTTGTGTGTGTGTACGTGTATTTTCTCGTAGTCCTGGTTGGCTAGCATGCTAGATTTGCCAAAACAAACGGCACGATACTAGTAAAAGTTCCTATTTGCA